TGCTCGTGGTTGTCAGAGCAGTTAGCCATCACTGATAAGGTAAGTAAGAAGGAGAGGTGAGTAAGTAGGTACCGTTGGTGGGATAAGTGGTAAGGAGGTATGTTTGCAGCTGGTTGTCAGAGCAGTTAGCCATCACTGATAAGGTAAGTAAGAAGGAGAGGTGAGTAAGTAGGTACCGTTGGTGGGATAAGTGGTAAGGAGGTATGTTTGCAGCTGGTTGGCAGAGCAGTTAGCCATCACTGATAAGGTAAGTAAGAAAGTAAGCAAGGAGATACCTAACATCTTGCTGACGTATGGCTCAATATCAATGTCCTGTAGATGGTGATAAGTGTGGGCATTGTACAGTCTCAGTGTGCTGTCCAAACGGATGGAAACCCACACACCATCTCCTATCCAGGCCAGCTGACGAACCTGACTTTCACGTCGGGGATGAGCGTCAAAAGTTTTCTAAAAAATTATTCAGAGTAACTTGTTAGTTCCAATAACTTTTTCAAAACCAAAACCGCTTCATTTAAAGACTGCTGAAAATAAACAATAACAAAATTGCGTCTTCAAGCTAAATTAACATATTCGATTGCTATGTTACTGCACTGGGTCAACCCCATGAAACTTGTTCTGATAATTCCCAGAGAAAAGAGAAGCCTTCGTCTACAGTATAGTGACGGAATAACACAACGCATGAAAACAATTAAGAGAAATGAACAAAGAGAACTCAGCACGGTCTAGGAGAGGAAGAAAAAGACCATAAAAGCAACCTAACTCGAACATCCTGAATGACAGCATTTTGACAAGCTATTTTCCTTCTCATAACGCTAAAAAGCACTGAATTACATTAATACCCAAAATACCTCTACTTTCATGCTTCGGGGATGAATAACTTGGATCTTATTGCGATAACCACACCAGACTTTGTCGTGTACTACAGTCATACACCGAATGGAGTGATGCGGTCGGCCGAGATCAAGCAAGTGATAATTGTTAAAGTTCCACTGACCATCTGAAATTAACAAGTTCGTTTCTGATTACTGGAAACCAAAAAGGACATACAAGAAAAAAAACCATATCAGATTAGAAGGAGAGAAAACTGACGAGAGCAAAGGTGGACATACCTGAAGCCCTGTGAAAGATAGCCACTGTACCATCGGCAAGAGCAACTAAAACACGCGTTTTCACATATCTACAATGTAAAGTTTGACATAAGATTACAATACAAGCAAATTATTTAAATTCTGACAATCACCTTACATTACAAAAGAGAGATACTATTCCCTGATAGCATATAACTGGTTGGTAGACCTAGTAGTCATTTATAAGACTTGATACTATCATTTGAAGCAGTTACTTTTTGGCATTGCTTTCATGTACTCACACAATACTGAGGACTGAGTCTTTGAGTCTGATGGAATGGATACATTTCTTCCAATCAGAAATGGCAGAATGTACATACACACTGCAAAGGAATCATGCAACAGTAAATTTTACACACAGACAGACAGATAGACAGACAGATAGTACTAAAGACGAAGACAAATTTACTCTCAATCAAAAATACCTCATTTAGTATAATAAAACCATTCACACACAGAGTAACTTACCAGCCAGATTGTGCTCCAAGCCACATGGTTGGTAATACACTGCTCATTTTCTCAACTCCTTCAACTTGCGCAGCTCCTGATGATGTATTTTCACTAGCTGTGATGTCTGTTACAGTTGGTGCGTCTGATCCTTGGGCTGTTTGTACTCCTAGACACATCACAAACAACACAAATGCAGTCAGCACTGTCATCAAATGATGTCTTCTACTGTCTAAAAAAAGGAAAGTATCGAAAGAGTCTGTTTTAACTGTACCCAGTGGATCACTGAATCCTGAACTTTCTGTAGAATCACCTTTGTCAGGGTTTCTGTGAAGTGGATCTGCAAATAAATAAGTGTCTTTTCTTAAACAATTGACATCGAAAAACTGTTACTAGTAACACTAATGCCTACTCTGCAAATTCAGTTAAGTTAGCTTTGCCCCAGGTGTATCTATCTTGTTAGACGTTTTGTTGTGTAGTATCGCTGAGTATTTTTACGAGTTGTGCCGTATTTTGGCGAGCCCGTAAGGCGAGTCAAAATACAAATAACGAGTAAAAATAGTCAGCGATACTACACAACAAAACGTCTTACAAGTTATTCATTATCCAACACGCCAAACTGTTATTTCAGTGCGGGCGAGTTTCGCGGATATTTATTTACGGGGTGTACGTGACAGAAGTATGCGAAGTGGAACGGAATTGGCGCGTTGTCGTGTTGCTGTTTCTATTTTCTTCAATATAT